CTTCACAGGGGTGGTGTGTTCTTTTCTATGGCGAGCTCTATGCTCCAGTTCTAAATTCATCAGGAAATGGGAACAGTACTATTTCAAGTTATCATTCATTGTTTATTTAATTATTGGAATACTTCCATAAAGTGAAATTTTTCATCATCTCTTTGGTTACCCAGTGGTAACATTTGTACAGGAAAAGAAGGATAAATGCTTGTGTCTTTGCCTTTATTTAGCCAGTGCAAAATAGTTGATTCTTCAACATCTTCCAAAGGGAACAATTGATATTTGTTTGCTTTTGTATTATTATGGACTCTTGAACTTAAACATATTTGATATGTTTGGGTTCATTGCAGTTTTTATCCTTATTGGTGCTCAAAGTGTCCCCTCTTTGGCCAGTGGGATCCTTTTCAAGCTGGCTCTGAGTCCTTTTGACCAATCCTAGTCACCTTTAATCATGTTTCGCTTGCTGGTATGGTGTTCCAAATTTACCTTGTACTTTTCCTGTCCACACATGCAATCAGCCATTTCTTTAAGACATCCTGTTGTCTTTTAGCAAAAACTGATATTTCAATGCCATGATCTGGACATAAGGGATGTTCATCATTACTTGGTCACTGTTTCTGGGGCTTTTGGCAGACAAAGCTAGGAATTTTGCTGGGGGGTGGGGCGTGGAGACTGCAGGCCAGAATGGGGATTCAAACCCTTGACCTTGGTGTTGCCAACACTGAACTCTAACCAACTAAGCTAAGCTGCACCACCACCACCCTTTTTAAAGGAATTTTTGAAAGAGATAAAATACCCATCATGTTCTTAGTGACACTTCCAATTCTAATTTAAGTCTGCAGAGTATTGACTTAATTTATACTATCTTATGTCTGTATTTCCTTTTTTCCACACTGAGTACCCTTGTTCTCAAGTCACTTTTTTTTTTTTTAGCCCTATCTCCTTTATTAAATGAAAACGACAGGTGAAATTTCCCCATTAGAGTTCAGTGAGTTTGCCCCTAATGGAGTTTTTGACATATAGTAGAATCTTTGCTACATTTTTAATAAGATTGGAAGTGACCAAGAAAACATTTTATATTACACAGATATTCATCTTGTGGTAAAGTATTTAAAGAGTTGTTGAAACTAAAGATGGTACATGGTTTTTTTGTTTTTTTGTTTTTTTTTTTCAGCTGGCCAGTAAGGGGATCTGAACCCTTGACCTTTGTGTTATAACACTGCACTCAAACCAACTGAGCTAAACGGCCAGCCTGTTTTTTGTTTGTTTTGTTTTTTAAAAAAAGATGACCAGTAAGGGGATCTTAACCCTTGACTTGGTGTTGTCAGCACCACGCTCTCCCGAGTGAGCGAACCGGCCATCCCTATATAGGCATCCGAACCCATGGCCTTGGTGTTATCAGCACCACACTCTCCCAAGTGAGCCTCGGGCCGGCCCTCAGCCTGTTTGTTTTTAAACTAAAGACACCTATTCCAATTTCCTGACTTTTTTTAAGAAAACTCAACTATTGAGAAATCTGAAAACAGATATGATAGAATTGAAAATTCAGGATCACGCTATAATAGGTACAACCAAGGCACATAATATATATGGCACATATTAAAAATGTTTTATTGATGGAGGCCACTGCTCTAATGCACTTCCTAATGCAATTCTCACTTTCCAGCTATTTTTTGTGGTGTCTCTTCTGGATTTTTTAAAAAAGAGCTTTATTGAGGTATAAATGATGTACAATAAACTGCACATATTAAAAGTGTCCAACGTGCTAAGTTGACATACATATACACCACAATCAAGAACTCCGTTTCAGCTTTGATAGCTGTTAAATACAGTATTGCAACACACTGACCTTAGAACCAGACTTTCTAATCGCTCTATTTCAAACTGTTAAAACTTAATTTAAAACGTAATAAGATATGGGAGAGCATAACTCCCCCCTCCTTAAATGTGGGCTGCATATAGTGAAGTCCTTCCAAAGGGGACATTATAGGAGGGGTAAGTTCAGAGTAGATAAATCTGACAAACACCATCTCAGCCAGGTGATCAGGTCAACATCAAGTGATAAGCCATTTTGACAGGATGTGCCCTTGATATGTGATGAGGGCACTTCACCTCTGTGGTCTTCCTCCAAGTAACATGTAACCTCAAGGCCCTATCATGAGAAAAATATCAGGTGAATCCTAATAGTGGGACATCCTGCAAAATATCCGACTGTAGTCCTCAAAACTGTCAAGATTGTCAAAACAAGGAAAGTCTGAGACACTGTCACAGTCAAGAGCAGCCTAAAGAGACACAACTAAATATGATGTGGTATCCTGGGACAGAAAAAGGACATTAGGTCAAAACTAAGGAAATCTCAATCAACTATTGAGAGAGAGAATGAATGGAAGCAGTCACTTTGCTCTAAAACTAGCGATATTTTACTGGAAAAATTATTTCACCTTTTTATGCTTTCCAAATTTCTATTTATGATAGTACATGTATATAATTTTTAAATAACTATAATTTAAAACATATAAATAATTTAAAATAACTATATATATATATATATATATGGCACATATTAAAAATGTTTTATTGATGGAGGCCACTCCTCTAATCAGAAAGAGGCATTGACTTCAATATTTTAAGTTTAACCGGATCTAGGTAATCTTGGCCACAGAACTCCAGCAGATTCTTTAAGAAGTCATGCCCCTTTAGTACCAGCTATCAAAAGAAAAAAAAAATTTTTTTTCAAGTCATGTCCCATTTCCCCAGGATTTCAAGAATCTAAGGGAAAAGAAGAAAACTTGTCTCCTGTCCCGTTCTCTGGAGATCTGGGCTGCTTCCCAGTGGGATGCACTAACAGCGTCTGTGACAGTCAAGGCCTGCCAAAAGTGGGTACCCACAGAGGACAGGACAGACACGGTTTGTCCTTATTTCACAGCAGGTAACAAGGCAAAATGCCGGTCTCCTGTTCCATAAGGGGACTTCACTCTTTGTATTGGAACAAAAGGAGCCCGTTGCACATAACCACAGACTTTGGCTCTGCCACTGAATAACAGCATGTGACCTTGTGGCCACCTTTCGACTGTGAAATGAGAGGGAGCCATAAAGTCCCTCCTAGTTCCTTGTATCCATTTTATCCATGTTCATGACTTCTCCTAACATAAGAGAGTATGTTCCTTTGAGAGTGGACCGCTGGGCCTCTCCAGATCTTTGGGACTCATTACGCCCTAATCTGTGTCTTCTGAAATAAGAGGATCAGTTGTCACAGCAACTGAAACCAGAGCAGATCATCTGGACACCTGGGACTGGCTCAGACCTCAGCTGCTGGGCTCTGATTTGCAACGAGAGCAGACAGGCAGGTAGGACCTTCGAACCTAAGTCAGGTGCCAGACGTCAGCACCTGAGGCCGAAGGCAAGGTGGGCAGGGCCACATTCCTCAGAGGTTGGAGCTGAGTCACTGAGGCAGAAACCAGGTGATGAATAAGTTTCTCTTAGTAGCAGATGAGGGGGCTTTGCCACCCCAGGAGCAGAGGGAAGCAGCCGAGGGTGAGGCTGACCGGGAAGTCCCTGCTTTATAGACATTTCCTGGGTATTTCCTCACAAAATTAAAAAACTTAATCTCTACATGGCCACCATATCTACATAGCTATACCTACAGTACAGGGGGTATTTGATTGATGAATCCATACCCCGTTGCATGCAAGGGACATCCGTCCAGGGTGAGGGATAAGCAAACCTCCCTGACAGGAACTCCCACATTCTAATCTAACCTCATGTCTCTGTACAGACCCCATTTGGGTAATAAATGTGGAAATGGAAACCACTGCAATTTCATCAGTCCCAAACTTCTCCTAGGCCCATCATCACCAGGCATGTCAGTAGTGGATAAAAGTCCTGAGCTGACCAGTTGGATGGGTGCTGGTTGCCAGGCACAAACTTCTGGGGAAACTCCCAGGCCCACCGTCTTCCAGGACTCTGGTGGAGCTGGGTGGCACCCCTGTTCCACCCCTTACCACTCAGTGAGAAAGGAATACCCACGCTACATGTACCTCACGAGGTTTAGACACCCAGCGAGGCCCTGTGTGTACAGCAGCGAGCACATGCAGGCACTGAAATAAAGGAAGCTGGTCTGTTAGGTCTGGAATCATATAAGCAGCACTAGATCCATCCTTTCCAGCTGATGTTGCAGAGGGTCAGGTGACAACTCTTCAGAGCATTCAGGCAGAAACTGGCTTCAAAAAATAAAGATCCTCCCTCTTCATGACTTCCCTGGCTGGCAACAACTTGAGCAGCCAACGCAGGAGGCAGAGGCTGACAGAGAAGTGGTGATCATGAGGAGGAATCAGCCTGTTCCCCTGGCTCAAGCCCAGGCACATCCTGGCGAGGGGCTCACACAATGCTCAGTCCTTTCCCAGTATCCCCAGGAAGAGCCATGTACGCCTGTACTCAGGTGTATGCAATATTACCTTGATAACTACTCTGCTGATTTAAAACTGATATTACACTAAACTAGGGTGGGGACTTTGAGGAGCTGAGCCCTTGAATTTACTCTCACACATACAGCTGAGCATTAAAAGACTTAGACGGCTAGTGAAGACCCCCTTAGGCACAGGGCCCTCCAAGTAGCTGTCAGGTCAACAAACACCCCCTTCAATGAGAAGACACAGCCGCCTAGTGGCAGGTTAAGAAACTCAGAAATGGAGGCTGCACACATTTCTATGGAAATTCAACCACAAGCCCTACTCATTGTTTCTAGGATCATTAAGAAGAAAAGTGTCATGTTAATAAATATTGGTACCTTAAATTTTGCTGGGCAAAAACTCTGGGCAGACTTTCCCTCTTATTTTATTCTTTAAATGAAAAAAGGAATTTGAGCTCAAGAGCCTAGACTTGCTTGAGTTGACTTATTTCAGCCTCTGTGGTACAGCTCAGTGATCCTTCATGCAGGGGATGCCCAGCCCGTCCCCAAAGGCAGGAGGCGTAAAACCATCACCAAAGATGAATAAAACAAGGAGTCTTGGTGGAAGTTACAGTATTTATTGATGTGTTTAAACTCTGTACATTCTCCACAGATCACACCAAGGAATTTGTAGGTGAAGTTTAACCTGTGCATAGTGGGAAGAGACACAGATAGGGTCAAAGGGGAGGAGAGAAGGAAAAAAAGTTACAGGAAAATAGAAAAAAAATATTCCACAGGTTACCAGAACCTTCAGATTAAAAAAAAAAAAAAAAGAAAAAGAAAAGGCTGTAAGCATCAACATTAACTATACAAGCATTACAAAGACTAATGTGAAGGAAACAAACATCTTCAAAGCTTTCCACAGTGTCTACAGATTCAGGTTCATGTACTATCTGGAATATTCTTTTACATAAAAATGAACCTCCCATGTTCTCTCCTGGGTCATCAGCCGCCTCCTTTGTGGTCTTTGAGTGAATACCAAAGAGGCTGGTGACAGGAGAGGGGGCAGAAGTTAAGGTACAAAGGAGAGAACCGAGGGTCAGTGCCTTTGGAGAGAAATGTTCGAAGAGGGAGACCGCACATCTGGACATACTTGGAAGGGGCAGTGAATATAAAAAGCTAGTCAGTAAACGACGGACGGTGGAAGAACGTCATGTATAAACTACAGGCTAATTTTTGCGGAAGAGCTGGATTTGGAAGGAAAGCAGCAGTGGACACCCCAGTCTGTACACACCAGGCTCGCTAAAAGACGCTGGAACCAAACTGCCTTTAACCTCCTTAGTGATAGGCTTGTAGAGAAAACACCAAGGTACCTAACTGTGGGAACACCAGACTTCCAGGACTCTGATCCTTTAAAACCATCTTGAAAGGGTACCATGATGTGCTTCAATGGTCAATTACAGTTCCCTATTCCACTAAATTTCTCAGCAACTTTCTGAGAGCTCATTTACAAAGGGAATACTGCTTTCTTTTCTTTAATAAAAACCAGGATAGTGAGTAAGCCTAAGGAGTTGATTTATACAGTGTAACTGAACAGCTTGCACGTACAGTCTATCATTGAAAACCAACATTTCCCATTTATATAGAGCGCATGTGTGAGACGATACATAGAAATGGGATTTCTGATTAATTTTAAAAAAACTACATCAGTCAAATATCTGCAATAGATCATTTTTCATTTAAGGTTTATATATCATATATTGTTATATTAACATTTTTCACCCATTTAAAAGAATGGAAATTGCAATTCTACAGTAGTACTTTCTAGACGTAACGATCCAGGAGGTCGGGATATAAGATGAAACCCTTCAGAGGCAACCCAAAACACTGGACCCCTCTGGTCCATCTGCACCACCCCACTCTAGCCAAGGGTGCCACACGCTTTCTGTCACTTAAATCTGCATCTGCTCCAAGTATTTGTAGGTTGGGTTTTCATAACCATGGTTCTGCATCTTGTTCAGGTGACGCTCTTCTGGGGTGAGCATTGGGTCAACCTGGAAGAACAAAGACGGAGGGTCACTGGGGTGTTTTCAGAAAAGACCTGCACAGGGTATGTGCTGCACAGTACACAAAGCAGCCCAGCAGCCTGCTTCCACTGTGCAGACCAAACAAGAGTAGTGGGAAGCGCACAGCAGGGGGAGGAGGAAGGAAAGAAGGGGGTTTAGGAGGTGATGCTTCTGGATCTAGAGTCCTGAAAGCTGAGTTAATGGGAGAAAACAACTGGATTTCCCAGCACCACAGTGACAAGCAAGTCACTGTTGTGCTACTTCCTATTTGGAAGAGCTGAGGCAAGCCACTTAACTAAATTCGGCTACAGAATGGGGAGTGAGACTAGGTGGCCAGTCTCCAGCAGGAGATAAGACCAAATTACTGAGACCCGCATCTGAACTAATTTTCCAGAGCACATTATATTGCTGTTGTATTTACATTCTAGAATCAAGAGACTCTGGACATAAACCCACCGTCCACTAAAAATGAGTGGCAAGAAGTTCCAACTACAACCAACAGAAACAGGCTGCTTTGGCTCTGAGTTTCCTGTTGCTTCCTCCCTGCCACTAAAAAACAGGACAGAGGTTAGCTTAGTTGGTTACAGCTCAGTGTTGTAACACCAAGGTCAGGAGTTTGGATCTCCACACTGGCCACCTGCCCCCGCCCCCCAAAAAAGAAAACTTGCAGCAGTCCTTTAATCTTAAGTACGTAACATAACGGAAAAAGGAAATACTGAGGAAATAATCTGAGAAAATATTTTTCACCCATGAATGTTCTTATGATTTTCTGACATTCATAGTCAAAGCCCAAACCAGTGCTCAAAGTCAGCAATAGTCCCTTGTAGCAGGATCAACATAATTCAGCTGTGGCAGACTTCCAAAACGTGGCCTAATATCCAGTGAGTAATTTAATTGATGATGGCCATATGTCTGGCACTGAAGAAGCGAAGACGTTTGAATCCATAAAGTTCCTGCCCCCGCCCCCGGGCAGCAGAGCCACCCTCAGCAGCATGAGCCCTGGCAGAAGGGCGCCTCACCTCCACAACCCCGTGGCTGATGGTGCCGTACTGTCTCTTCCTCAGCATCACCAGGCTGATGACGATGACCGTGGCAATGGCCACTGCAATGACCAGCAGGCCAATAAGGGCACTGCTGCTCAGACTGAAGTCTTCCCGCAGTGGTCCCATGGATTCCTAAAATAACAAGGCAGACGTGGAGCGAAGTCCTGGTGACCACCTGGCAACTATGAGACAAGTAACTCAGCGAGGGTCATGCCCCCTTAATGTTGGCTCTAAAAACCCAAGGGAGCACCTCGCAGGGTAGCCATCCAGATGGGGAGAGCATCCGCTTCTCACTCTCCACGTAAATTTTAATTTTAGCTTTCTTCCCCAAAAGTATGAGAAAATGAGGAGGAGAGGACCTTATTCACTCAAGACACCAGGCACCTCTCCCAACTTCTACCTGAACTGGGAAGGCTGGAAGGAAAAACCGCTAAGACTGACACGAAAGCTGCACTAGTCCTGGAGCTAAACACATACCGGCTCTTCCTCAAGGCCGCCAACTCTCTCCGCATTGAAAATCATTTCCTTAACATCCAGAGTCTCGTCAATGACCTGAAAGGGGAAATTTCGTATAAGTATCACTGCTTCTTTTCTGCTCCATTTACTATTTGTTTTTTTGTTTTTTTTTTCCTTTTTGTCTTTTTTACTGACCGGTAACGGGATCGCAACCCTTGGTGTTGCGCCCGCACCGCGCTCAGCCAGTGAGCGGGAACTGGTCTCCACATGGGATCCAAACCCTCGGCGGGAGCGCCGCTGCGCTCCCAAGCGGCACACTCTCCAGTGTGCCACCGGGCCAGCCCTCCATTTACTATTTGGTGGTGGGAAGACACACCTGTTGGACACCCATGAACCAATCAGTTCTGTCACATTCAGCCAAATCCACTCCCCAAACCTCTAAATGGGGACAACCGCGGATACAAAATGACTGTGTAGCAGAGCTGGTCCCAGGAGGGCAGCCCCTGCAGTTTCCTTTAAGTAATGGTCGTGGAGACGTATTTTAGGACTGAATACCAAGGAACCACATTTAAATATCAAACCCAGTCAAGGATAATCCAGAAATAAGTGACAGAAAATGCTACAAGAATAAAGGGGGGTATAAACCTAAGGCAGTATAAGAACCAAACCTAACTCTATTCCATTTTCAAGTTATTAAATCTCTACTCACTTAAAAACAGCCTCTACTCTGTTATTCTAATCTCCAGTTGTAAATTCTATAGCAAGAGATGAGCAACTGCTCAAGAAGAGTCCTTTAACCTTCTCATGCCCAGATGCTAACCAATACAGTCAATCTATGGGGGCAGTGGGTGCCCCCAATCTTCTACCAGGCAGAAAACGAATACACGGATATGGCTCCTGGCAGCATCCAACCCCCTGCCCCTTGCTCTCATGATTCTCAGAAGGAAAACGTGCTGGGCAGAAAAGAACAGGCTTACCATGTTTTCATCCACTTTATTCTTACTGTTAATCACTTTTTCTTCAGCACCGATCAGTCCCCCGTCCTGCTCTCCCACTCCAGATCCTGTGTGGACAGAGATCATAGCTGAGTCTCCAAGGACGGCCGATGGGTGCCAATCCCACAGCAGCATCAGACTCCCTCTTGAGGGCTGGGGAGCCCCTCCCTGCTACTCAGTATGCTGCTGTGTTCCCATGTTTGAGGATGCGCTGTGTTCTATAAAGATGAATGATACAGGCGTTTTCAGAGGACCGATGGGTATAATGAGGGAGGAGAGAGTGCTTACTTGTCTCCAACTTGGAAAAATGGAATGTATGCCTTTGGAGAGTGTTTAGGGTCAGACATATAGAAGCTGAGTCCAAGGGCGTTCCAGCACAGAGAACACGCAACACCCTTACACTCGTATGTGATGTCACTGACCACCTGCTGTCCCCGCCTGCCCCTTCAGCACCAGCAAACCCCACATGCACGAAAGACCGTCACACAGTTGTGATTTGCACATCTGTCTCGAGTATGATTATTTACCCCACAGGCAATTCCTTCTGCCTCAAAAACCCTCCCCAGCCTACACCCTCCTATTGGCCAGGTTACAGCACTTTAAATCACAGTCTGTGATTATCAATTTCCTTCTGTGTTTCCCACTAAGCTGTATTCCTCTCAGTGCCTAAATCATAGATGGTTATGTCCTAAATGGTTACTGAGGAATGAAGAAGGAAGTGTTCCATCAAGTGGAAGCCATCTCTCTCTAGACAGAGCAAGAAAAGCAACTCTCTTCTTGCCAAGGTCAGACATTGCCAGAGCCAATGTCACTCATGTGTGGCACTCCAAGTGACAATACCAAATACACAGTGTGACCAGACCCAGCACAGACCCAGGGAAGAAAAGAGTGAGGAGAAAGAAATCTGACATTGCCAGAGCCAATGTCACTCATGTGTGGCACTCCAAGTGACAATACCAAATACACAGCGTGACCAGACCCAGCACAGACCCAGGGAAGAAAAGAGTGAGGAGAAAGAAATCTTCTTTTATTTTTAGCTCCAAAGAATGTGATCTCTAGCTATCACAAAGCTTTCTCATTAATAGTAACACATATAATTTTACACAAGCATCTATGACTTGAACCTTTTATAAAGAGATCAACCTGATGGCATACTCAGCATTTTAAGGTAACTGCCTCCAAGTGTGTAAGTTGCCAACATGGATATCCGCAAAGCACTCTGATCCTGAGCTTGTCAAAGGCAGAAAATGACACCAGGCCAGCCACAGCAAAGCTTTCCAGCTCCCAACTAGACTCCTTATCATGGAGCAGTTAGTAACATCTACTGCAGCTGCCAAACTTACAGGATAGCTCTTGCATAACCCATTGCAGTGCACCCAAAAATAATGCAATTTTTTCCTAAAGCTTTCACTTTAGGAAAGAACAGCATGACTTGATTGTCTTTAACTCAGGGTTGCCTTTGTAGTCTCAAAGTGCCAACGGAACAGAAATACTGCACCCTAACTATTTGAGAAAGAGGAATCTTGTTGCCTCAGCAAGGACGCTTATGATCAAGACCAATAAATTTTAATCCTGAGCTCCTTCCATCTCTCTCTCCTCCTCAGAATTTTAAAGGTCATAGAGCAGGATCCTACTGGAAAAATACTGTGGCACTGAGCCAACTAATTTAAAGTCCTACTACCGGTCCAGACTGTTCTATTACTCTCTTGGTGGTATAACCTACATGTGTCTTAAACACTGACCAAAATCACTTTGGTTTTATAAAATGCATAAACAAGTAACTTCAAGAGACCAAAAGTTAATGTTTAAATTGTCCCAACTCATAACAGCTTAAGTATGAGGTGAGAGCCAGTTAAACTTCTAGAAAATTCATCTTTATCTACAGACGTCTAAGATTTTTATTGAGAGCAATGTTAGCACAGTGATCTCTAAGAACAGATATATCCAAGTAGAACCAAATAAAGCATTTACACGTAAGTAATTTTCAGATTTAAATCACACTTTTATGTTCTGAAAACAAGCTGTGATATAAACCACAACACCAAATTCTTAGCCAGAGACCACCACTTGGTCCATCCATGATCAGTCTGCCAAAGCCAAGGGCAGACTCCTCAAACGCATTAGAACATGGAATGTTTAGGGCCGGCCCGGTGGCGCACTGGATAAGTGCGCCGCTTGGGAAGCGCGGCGGCGCTCCCGCCCGAGGGTTCGGATCCCACATGCAGACCGGTTCCCGCTCACTGGCTGAGCGAGGCGCGGGAGCAACGCCGAGGGTTGCAATCCCGATGCCGGTCCCCGGTCCGGTACGGGGGCAACACTGAGGGTTGCGATCCGTTGCCGGACAGGAAAAAGACAAAAAAAAAAAAAAAAACATGAAAAAAAAAAAAAAAG